TCGATTAATCATGCCCATCCCTAGTCCAGACATAGATCTATTAAAACTGGAGGTGTTGCTGCGTGTATCTGCCTCCTTAATGGCTCTTTAATTAAATCAAATTAAATTCAAAAAGTTTATTGTTAAATTTCCATATGAACGTATGAAAAACTGAAATGATGTTCTCACTCTCAATCTTCTACATTAAAAAAATAATAAAATAACAGGAAAAGTCCAAAGTTCTTCTTTACGGAGAAAAAAAAAGCTCACGTGACAATTTTGTGTAATATAGGATCTTTAAAACTGTGGTTTACCTGCACAAGAGAGAAAAAGTGTGTGAAGTCGTTCAAACTCTGAGTAATCCCTCTTTAAACACCAAAACAAAAGTCTTACAAATACTTTTTACTCTCAGCTTTTCTGTTTCCTTCTGGAACAAGCGATGATCAAATCTCTGCTTCCTCCACACGTTTTCACAAAACAAAACGTACTCACTCCGAAAGTGTTCAGAGTTTTCCTTCAGACTTCTCCTCACACACGACCGAAAACATCACGTCTTTTCTCACACAAACTCTTCAGCGCGAGACAAAAAAACAGAGACTCTCAAAGTGAAGAGCGCGGAACAAAAGAAACTGATGAGTGAGTCTGAAACCGAGAAGAGACGGGAAACATCTCAACCTCCTCCTCCTCTGAGAACGAAGGAATATTACACACACACACACACACACACACACACACACACACAGACAGAAAACAGAGAGATATAGCGAAAGTGAGATAGAAAGAGTGAGATAGAGAAAGAAAATTATTTTAAAAAGTGAGAATGAGAGATAGAGATAAAAGAGTGAGAAAGCGACACAGAAAGAGTGAGAAGAGAGAAGATGAGATAGAGAGTGAGAAAGAAGAAGATAGAAAGAGTGAGAAGAGAAAGAAATGAGATAAAAAGTGAGAATGAGAGAGTGAGATAGAGATAAAAGAGTGAGAAAGCGACACAGAAAGAGTGAGATAGAGAGTGAAAGACAGAGATAAAAAGTGAGAAACAGAGAGTGAGATAGAGTGACATAGCAAGAGTGACAGAAAGAGTGAGAATGAGGGAGAAAGCGTGAGATAGAGAGTAAGATAGAAAGAGTGAAAGAAAGAGATAAAAAGAGTGAGATAAGAAGAGTGTGATAGAGGGAGTGAGATAGAGTGAGCTAAAAAGAGTGAGACAGAAAGAGTGAGACCGAATCTCTCAATGAGTGAGATAAGATTTAAAGCGTGAGAAAGAGAAAGATAGATAGAAAGAGTGAGACTGAGAGTGAAAGAGAGAAAGAAAGAAAGAAAAAGTGAGAAAGAGAGAATGAGACAGAGCGACAAAGAGTAAGAAAGAGCGAGATAGAAAGAGTGCGATAGAGAGAATGAGTGAGATATAAAGAGTGAAAGAGAGAAAGAAAGAGATAGAGAACGAGAGAGTGAGAAAGAACGAGATAGAAAGAGTGAGTGAGACAGAGAGTGAGATAGAATGAGAGAATGAGCGAGATAGAAAGAGTGAAAGAGAGAAAAAATAGTGTGATATAAAGAGTGAGATAAAAAGAGTGAGATAGAGTGAGACAGAAAGAAAGAGTGAGACAGAGAGAGTGACTCTTTCCATCTCTCTCTCTCTATCTCTCACAGAGTGAAATAGAAAGAGTGAAATAGGGAGAGAATGGACATTTCTGTAATATAAGAAATGGATGGATGTGGGTAATTAAACTGTAATTTCCTGTCACATCCGTCTCAGCTGTTTGACCCCTGACCCTGACCCCGACCCGACCCCGACCCTGACCCTGACCCCGGCCTCTTCATCAGGTGAACTTACAGGAGATGGAAAAAATAATCGAGTTCAGAATAGAGTTTGAATAGAGCAGAGGCGACCAATCGCAGAGCGGGACAGAGCGGAGACGACCAATCAGGGGCCGGGACGCAGACAAAAGGCGAGGGACAAAAGACCAGGATTATTACGAGGATCTATCGTTCTGTTTGATCTGAGAGAGGAGGGAAAGAGAGAGAGAGAGAGAGAGAGAGGAGGAAAAAAACAGAGGAGAGGGAGAAGAGGATGGGGAGAGAAAGAGAGAGAAAGAGACGGGGAAAAGGAAGGAGAGGGGGAGAGAAATAGAATGGAATGAATGGGGGTGAGTGCAGTATTTTTACAGCACAGGAGACCCACCTCATTTCTCAGTTTTATACAAATATATCTCGTATTAAATTGATTTGAAATATATCGAATCGTATCGAATCGTATCGAATCGAAAGCTCACTGTACCGAGGTATGATCGTATCGGCAAATTCTTAAAGATACCCACAAGTGTTGCAGTCAAGAGCGCACTAATCGAGACCAAGACCAGGACAAGACCACAGGGTCCTAAGACCAGGACAAGACCGAGACCTCTGAGAGTCGAGACCGAGACAAGACCGAGACCTCTGAGAGTCGAGACCGAGACAAGACCGAGACCTCTGAGAGTCGAGACCGAGACAAGACCGAGACCTCTGAGAGTCGAGACCGAGACAAGACCGAGACCTCTGAGAGTCGAGACCGAGACAAGACCGAGACCTCTGAGAGTCGAGACCGAGACAAGACCGAGACCGCGGCCCATCGAGACCAAATCGGGACCATCTTTGTCATTTTCGACATTTGTTTGTATTTCACAGTTATTTTGGCACAAATATATCAGTATTTTTATAAATCTATCTCCATTTCATCACTCAACGATGTCAGACCTCGAGACGGAGACAAGATCGAGTCCAAACAACTTCAAGACCAAGACAAGACTGAGTCCAAATGTAGTCGAGTCCGAGACAAGACCGAGTCCAAACGTGGTCGAGTCCGAGACAAGACCAAGTCCAAACGCCTTTAAAACCGAGACAAGACCGAGTCCAAACGCAGGTGAGTCCGAGACAAGACCGAGTCCAAACGAGGTTGAATCTGAGACAAGACTAAGTTCAAACGCAGTCGAGTCCGAGACAAGACCAAGTCCAAACACGGTCAAGTCCGAGAAGAAGACCAAGTCAAACAGGTCGAGTCGAGACAAGACCGAAGTCCAAACGTGGGTCGAGTCCGAGACAAGACCAAGTCCAAACGCGGTCGAGTCCGAGACAAGACCAAGTCCAAACGCAGGTCGAGTCCGAGACAAGACCTTGTCCAAATGCAGTCAAGTCCGAGACAAGACCAAGTCCAAACGCCTTTAAAACTGAGACAAGACCAAGTCCAAACGCGGGTGAGTCCGAGACAAGACCGAGTCCAAACGAGTCCGAGACAAGACCGAGTCCAAACCGCAGGTCGAAGAGTCCGAGACAAGACCAAGTCCAAACGCAGGTGAGTCCGAGACAAGACCGAAGTCCAAACGTGAGTTCGAGTCCGAGACAAGACCACCAAGTCCAAACGTCCAAAATCTGAGACAAGACCGAGTCCAAACGTGGTCGAGTCCGAGACAAGACCAAGTCCAAACGCCTTTAAAACCGAGACAAGACCGAGTCCAAACGCAGGTGAGTCTGAGACAAGACCGAGTCCAAACGCGGTCAAGTCCAAGACGAGAACCGTCATCAGACCAGATCATAAAAGTGTAATCCGGGCCCTTTAATCTCACAAAAGTAAAACTAAAAATACTTTACGTACAGTGACAGAAAAAATAACACAGAACAAAACATTTTCCAGCTCCGTGGCTCTATTCAAATTCCAGATTCCAGATCCACGATTGAACTGACATAATATTTGACAGCACAAAAGAACGACGAGAACTCAGTGACCCGCAAGAGAGAGAAAGAAAAAAGAAAAAAAGAGAAAAGAGAAAAGAAAGAGAAAGAGAGAGAGACAGAGAGAGGATGAGTCTGGTTATTATTAGACCTGAACAATGCTCCGTGCTCTAATCTCCAGCCCACCGGCCCGTCCTCTGTATTATACACATGATTGACAGCTCACACACACACACACACACACACACACACACACACACACACACGGGCCTGTAATGTCCATTGTGTGTGTGTTTTTGTGTGTTTTCGTGCGGTGTTGTTGCTGCATGTGTCAAACGAAAAACGAAAGGATAAAAGTCTAATCCTCCGTCCAAACCCGAGACGTTCTTTTTGTCTCTCGTGTCTCAAACGCAGAAGACGCGTCCTCTGCGAAAGTTTGTCGTTCCTTTTTCGGGTTGTGTTTTTATTTTTTTTATTTTTTTACACGTAAAACATCGAGTTTGTTTTTGTGTTTCTGTACTGAACAGGAAAGAGAAGAGAAAAGAGAGAGGGGAGGAGAGAGGAAAGGAGAGAAAAGAGAAAAAAGAGGAGAGGAGAGAAGGAGCAGAGAAAAGAGAGGAGGAGAGAGCTGAGGAGAGAGGAAAGGGGAGAGAAGAGAAAAGGACAGAGGAGAGACGAGCAGAAAAGAGGCGAGGAGAGGAGAGAAGAGAGCGAGGAGAGGAGAAAGGAAAGGAGAGAGGTGAGGAGAGGAGAGAAAAGAGAAAGGGAGAGAGTAAATGAAAGATGAAAGGAAAGGAGAGGAGGGAGAAGAGGAGAGAGGAGGGGAGAGAGGAAAGGAGAGAGGAGAGAGGCACGGAGAGAGAAGAGGATAGAGGAAAGAGGAGAGGAGAGAAGAGAGAGAGAGGAGGGAAGAGGAGAGGAGGAGAGAGCTGAGGAGAGAGGAAAGGGGAGAGAGGAGAGAGAGAGAGAGAGAGAGAGGAGAAAGGAAAGGAGAGAGGCGAGGAGAGAGGAAAGAGGAGAGAGAAGAGAAAAGAGAAAAGGAGAGAAGAGAAAAGAGAAAAGGAGAGGAGAGAGAGGAGAAGAGGAGAAAAGAGAGAAGAGAGGAAAGAGAAGAGAGGAGGGAAGAGGGATGAGGAGAGGAGAGCAAAAGAGAAAAAGAGAGAGGAAAGAGAAGGGATGAGGAGAGGAGAGAGGCGAGGAGAGAGGAAAGTGTAAAGGGGAGAGAGGAGGGAGGGAGGAGGACGAAAAAGGAGAAGAAAGAAAAGAGAAAAGGAGAGAGGAGGAAAGAGGAGAGGAGAGAAAGGAGGAGCGCTGACCTTCTTGACGTAGCTCTGGATGATCTCGGGGTCCGGCTCCTGGTTTCCTCCCAAACACACGTCTGTCTCCAGTCTGTGCCGACACCACCGCAACTCCCGACGCTCCCAACTGTAACACACACACACAACACACACACACACACACACACACACACACACACACACACAACACACACACACAACACACACACACACACACACACACACACACACACACACACAACACACACACACACACACACACAACACACACAACACACACACACACACACACACACACACACACACACACACACACACACAACACACACACACACACACACACACACACACACACACACACACACACACACACACACACACACACACACACACACACACACACACACACACACACACACACACACACACACACACACACACACACACACACACAACACACACACACACACACAACACACACACACACACACACACACACACACACACACACACACACACACACACACACACACACACACACACACACACACACACACACACACACACACACACACAACACACACACACACACACACACACACACACACACACACACACACACACACACACACACAACACACACACACACACACACACACACACACACACACAACACACACACACACAACACACACACAACACACACACACAACAAAACAGACGGATTAGAACTGAGGCGCTCCTAAAATCAAATTCCAGATCTATTTTAAATCATGTTTGTTCAGCGTTTCCCGCAAGCTCTCATCATTTATGCACAAGAGAAGTTTAAGGCAGAGGTGCTCACACTTTTTCATCATGTGAGCTACTTACAAAATGACCAAGTCAAAATGATCTACCTAATACAAAGCCAAGCAAACTGCACTGAAACGTGAGGCGAGGAACAGAGATTGACGGTAAATCAAGAGTTTTGCCTTTCGGTTCAGCTCCTCTTCACCACAACGGTCCGATACAGCGACCGCATCACTGCCGACACTGCACCTGTCCACAAGGCTACTGGCTCTAAATCCTTACAATAAGAACTCTTCTCCATGTCTGTGTTCTCCAGAGCCGTGTTTGTCGTGTTTGTCTTCACCTCCTGCCCTCCACCTGAAATTCGCGCGTTATTGTGATCACGTGACCGAAACCCTCCTATTTGGGTCACAGGTAAATTCTGACATTATTCCACAGACAGACAATCATATTTAATATTCTGCCTCCACTCAATGTTTAGGAACAATTTACAGACAGACATCAGTTTCTCCAGTGAACACTCAGGAAGCCTCTCGCTGTTTTGGGCATTTACTGAGAAACATTGATTGTAAAACTCAAACATACAAAAAAATAAATGCATATTACAATTATGTTTTCACATTTAAACAAACATAGAATAAGTGGCGCTACATAAAACAATGTAGAGCATCTTAATAATTCAATATATGCAGAACAATAACTGGTGTCGGCGGCAAGGTGGGGCATTTGAGGGCCGTGCCCCCAATAGCGGCCACTGGTGCCCCACCCCCAGCACAGACTGTTATTATTACTATTTAAAAATGATTTTGATTGGCGCATTTCACTTCGGGCTGAGGGCACAAACTTTACAATATCACAGTCTCTGTTTATTTACTCACGTCAACCTGCTGCGTCAACTCGTAGCAGCTTCACGATTAGCAGCAGCTGCTACTTTAGCCTAAAGCTCCACACAGGAAATGGCGAGAACAGAGTCAAAGACACACGGACAGACCCGCCGCCCGGATTCGGGACAGTCTCTGCCGGGACTGGGGCAGTTGCCGCCGGGGCCAGGGCAGTTGCTCGCTGCTCTATCCGCCTTTGCCCGCTGGTTTCTGGGTGTAAAAGTTTGACCTGAGCATAGTGCGCAGAGGCATAATTCTACCTGGTGTCCTGGTGCTGATGTGGACTGACCGAAACTTTCAGATTTAAGTGGGAAGTGGGATTAAGACTCATTTTACAACCGCTCGTGCACTCGGCTCCTGGACCTCGCGTCACGGACCAGACTGGACCAGGATTTGGACCAGTTTCATCTCTTCATATTGGACAATAGACTTTTGGAGACAGAACCAGTGGGACAGTGGACAGAGGAAACACTCTGCTTCAGTCTCTGGAGAAGGTAAGAGGCTGGTTTTCATTAGTTTGCGGCAAATCTGAACTTGGAGCCTCACAGGTTAATAGTGTTATAGTATTAAATGTTAATAGTTAATAGTGTTAATAGTGTTTAATAGTTAAATAGTGTTATAGTGTTAATAGTTAAATAGTGTTATAGTGTTTAATAGTTTAATAGTGTTATAGTGTTAATAGTTAAATATAGTGTTAATAGTGTGTTAATAGTTAATAGTGGTTATAGTGTTAATAGTTAAATAGTGCGGAAAATTAGCTCGCGGGTGCGATGACGCTGCTCTGGTTGTTCTGTCATGTGCTGTAGAAGCGGCATCTGTGTTCATGTCTCTTATTGTAGTTTTGCAGACGTTGTTGGTCTGGGTGTGAGCGGCGTGTTACGTTGTGTTGTTGCGTAAAGTTTGCGCTTGGCTGTTCATTGTGCTCTGATCGATATTGTTCAGCCAATAGTAACCAAAATGTCTGTTTCTGGTATTTGTTATAATACTACAGCCTATATATATAATACATATATTATTCATAATATATATTAATAATTTTGGCCTTGGTGCCCCTCCCAAAAATTATATCACCAGCTGCCACTGGTCCTGTTTTAGTCCTGTTTTAGTCCTGGTTTAGTCCTGGTTTAGTCCCGGTCCCTCAAGTCTCAGGTCTCTATAGGACAGGACTGGATGGTGTGCCCTCGTGTACCACGCTCACTACAGCCCTGGTGCTGTCTGATGTGTGCCTATTTCTTGCCTGTTTGCTTCTTTCAGTGATGTTGTTCAGAGGTGTTTTTGACGAGAGGCTGTTGTTTAATGTTTACAACCAGTGGCAGGTCTTATTGTTTTTTAATAAACCTCAGCCTTTTATTATTGTCTTGTGTGCGTATCGTCTACCACACAGCCTCAACAACTATTGCAGCTAATAATAATCATTTTAATAAAATAATGATAAAAATAACAACAACACATAATTAGCCTAATACTGTTAAAGAAAAACGTGTTTGATAGCATGTCTGCTGTGTATGACTCCACCGCGTTAAAATATTTCTGTAATGGCAGTGCGCCCCCTGCTGGTGAGCCACGCCCCTCCAGTGCACGTGCTCTGACAATAACAATAACATTAGCTGGCGATTAGCATCATGCTAACATTAATGGAAATTTCCATAGCAATGCTAACGCTATTAGCGCCTTATATTTTAGTGGGAATTTCAAACTGTAAAACAACTTAAAATGTCCCACAGAGCGAGTGAACATGTTATAACTTTACAATACTTACACACAGATATTTTCATGGGGCCAAAAGACAAAAGTTTACAGGAATTAAACACTGACAAGAACAGCTGAAAAGTCTAGAACAATATGGCGGCTAAGGAAGCTCAGAGTGGACAAAACAGGATAAACTCAAAACAGAAATATTCTTTATCCACTGGGGTAAAACATTTAACGTACACAGACTGAAAAGGCTGAAGCTTGAGTTTATTCTGCGTTTAACCTTTATTCCTTTGTAAGAAAACCTTCTCGAAATTAATTAATTTTGTTAATAAAAACAGCGAGAGGAAACAAGTGATTAACAAACAATAAAGTTCTACAACACAAACTAAACATAATAATAATAATAATAATAATAATAATAATAATAATAACATAACATCATTCATGCTTCTGCCCAGAGTTAAACATTTAAACTTCTTTATAAAATGGAACAGAGTGGTGTTTATCTATATTTATATTTAGATCCAGTGTTGGGGAGTAACAGATTACATGTACCAGAGTTATGTAATCAGAGTACAAATTATGAGTAACTGTATTCAGTTACAGTTACTGTTTCAGTGAGTGGTAATTGGATTACAGTTACTTTGTTGAAATAAGTGGATTACACGGCGGGATTTTCCTGTTTTCACATTTGGAGCTAAACCAGAACTAAAACAGGTCTAAACCAGAACTAAACCAGGTCTAAACCAAGACTAAACCAGGTCTAAACCAGGACTAAACCAGAACTAAAACAGGATTTAACAGGACTAAATCATGCTGTGTGGACCGTGTCTCCTCCTCGTCTTCTATCGATAATATTTTTAATATGTTTAAGTAAAGACTCGGCCTTTTCATTGCTTTTTAGCAGATAAAACATCTTATGTTACGATTTCCTGGTCTTTGCTTCTCTACAGCAAATCAAGTAATCCAAAGTATTCAGATTACATTACTCAGTTTAAGTAATTTAATGGATTATGTTACAAACTACATTTTGGTGTATGTAATCTGTAATCTGTAGGGGATTACATTTTAAAAGTAAACTTCACAACACTGTCTATATCTGTATCTATAGATAGATCTTATATCTTTCCTTCTTTTTATTGTCATTTTCATTTATTCATTTTCGTATCTGATTTTTAGAAGTTTTATATTAAAATAAGTAAATAAATGAGAGAGCGGTGGAGGCCGTCGTTAAACAAGGTAACTCCTAAACATTCCACCATAGAGATACTTGTACAACCCCCCAGCGTGATGTCACTGCATCAATACAATGAACACACAAACACACAAACACACACACACACACACACACAGACATACACAAACGCACAACATTCAATTCAGATTGAAATGAAGCCGGGCTCTTGTGTTGCCGCGTGTGATTCTCTTGCTGTAAAAACCCTCTTCATCAAACACGACCAACAGCCTTTCGATTCATATCACCAAGTATTATTCAAATTCAGATTGAGGTCATCACACTATACACACACACACACATACACACATACACACATACACACACACACACATACACACACATATACACACACATACACACACATACACACACACACATACACACACACACATACACACACACACATACACACACACATACACACACACACACACATACACACACATACACACACAACACACACATACACACACATACACACACACACACATACACACACATACACACACACACACATACACACAC